TAATCATGTGAAAAAATTACATTTCCATTAGGGTAATAATCAATTCTGTTTGCATTCATTAATTCAACACTTTTATCAATATTAAAATGATTATTAAATAATTTTTCAAAATTTAAAAATCAGTGTATCTTAAATCAAATTTATTTGTCTGTTTAATTATATCCTGGTGATTTCGAGTAATTTTAACCTTTTGTCATGAATTTGTATTCATAAATATATGTAATATTCATAATAAGTTCATTAATATAAAACCCTTAATGTCCAGTATTAACGCCCCTCTGTCAATTTGGATGTCATATGATTAATTCATTCACAGACAGGCGTTAGAGCTTGGTCAACTTATTAATAATTTTAGTTATACTTTCATATAAACTTATGGAAATAAACACATGAGTCAATTTTTATTTAAAATCACTAGCGCCTGTCTGTGAATGTATAAATCATATGATCTTATATTATACTATATTTATATAAAATAAATTATACTCTATGGGCAAATTGAAATTTTATTTCTAATTATATTGACACATTATATACAAATAAATTTATTTGCACATTCAAATAATGAGAGTTAATGTTTTAATAAGTTTCGCACGCATTTTACTACACAATAAATTAATCTTGTACAATCATTAAATATAATAATATTGTAAAAAAGTTATTACTGTATCAAAATATGTACGCACTCGTAGGGGGAGAGGTACATGCCAATGTTACATTGCAATGTAACTTTATGTTGAGATTAAAGGGGGAGTGGGGTAAAAGAAGTAGTTAATTGTAATTTGATTTTAATCTATTGATTACATAATAACTACCAAAATGAACTTTTAAATTATTAAATTATGATAAAACAGCAAATATTTTGTGTATTCATTTTCACTATACATAAAAATTATAATGTTTAGTTTGCTATTATTTACAGTCTTATTAATGTATTTATCGTTGAACTCACTGCTAATTAGAGATGAAAATTGCATGTAATTTATTTTTTCACTCGGTAACTTACGTAACTTACGGTAACTTACGGTATTTTTCGTAAGTTATTATTTCATCACATATAAATATTTTACCTAACATTGTTAAATTATGAATATAAAACAGTTCATTTTTACATTAAAACCAATATGATAGTAATAGAATTGTTACTTAAATAAACAAATTTAACTAAGTTCATATATTTTTGAAAATTAATTAAATTTATGTAAATTTTAAAGTTTATTAGAGTGAGTTTTAGATATTTTGCCAATAGGTGTAGCTAGTAATGGGTTTGTAAGTTACACGTAAGTTACGCGTAAGTTACAGTGTAAGTTACGTAACTTACAAGGGCTTACAACCCTACTGATAATACATAAAATCTTGTAAATTTGTATATTAAAGTATAATTTAATTATTTTTAGCCTAGAGTGCAATCTGTACTCTTTATCGACAAACTGTATATTTATTTATTTTATACATTGATAACTATTTAATATTCTGTATGCAGTGTTAGTTTATTACTGTTAGTGTACCAGTGCACATAGCACTGGAAATAATCATTTCATTAAGATCCAAGGCTATTTTAGGAGTTTCTTTGTTAACTACACATACATGCATATGATTTATTGCTTTATGTTTCACAATTATATCATAACAAACACATTTTGAATTCTTATATATAAATGGGTAAATTGATTCAGTTTTAGTTATTATATTTCCAGCTATTTGTGTGTTTAAGTGATATATTATTAGACATATAAGACTACAGGTACCCTGAACGAAATTATGGAGCTAAACATTTATTGGACTACTTTCATAGCCCTTATCACTATATTTCTATTGTAAGTCATATTATTCATACCGTGCTATATAATTATAATATACTAATTAATTTACCTTTAAATTCCATTTCATATAAAGATATTTGAGGCACCGGTTCACCTACTGGTCCAGACATGGCGTCAAAGGACCCAACCGTATAGGAATTGAGGGATTCTTTATGAAAGTGGGCGACTTTGACACAAAAAACTGGCAAAAATACGGCCGTATATTCGGTGCATACGATCTGTTTGGCAAATGGCTTATTGTGAACGAACCGGAACTCCTACGCAATATCCTGGTCAAGGACTTCCATATATTCCCCGATCACTTACATTTCAACCTGGGTAACACAAACCTAGCGAAGGCCATGTTTTTTCTCAATGGCAACGATGAGGAGTGGAAACGGATCCGCACGATCACCAGTCCCTCGTTTACGTCGGGAAAGTTGAGGGCAATGATGGGTAGTATCGGTGGTATTGCCGATCAGTTTGTCAAAAATCTGGATGAATATGCCGTAAATGGTATGCATTTAAAAAATATATATTTTCTTTGTGTTCAATTATATAATTTACCTGTTCAAGGTACAGTTGAATAATAACTTGCATGATAATTTAGGCAAAACGGCTGATATGCGCAAATACATGGGTGCCTTTGCCATGGATGTGATCAGCGCCTGTGCCTATGGTATAAACGTGGAGTCCATTAATAACGCTAATCATCCCATTGTAGTGAACGCTAAGAAGATCCTATCGGTGGACACGAGTTTCAGTTTTATGCTATCCATACTGACGGGTAGTTATCGGTCCAAGAAATTTGACCTTGGCAAATTACACTTACGTTAATTGAAAAAGTTATTGGATTGCCTTGTTTATCAGCGGCTTTCCTTCAGTCGCTACTTATGACTGACAATCATATGATTAATATAATTTTAAATAATAACGTATTTAAAAGTTATTATAATTTTATATTTATAGCTAATAAGAGATCGGATTTCATACAACTTATGATTGATAACGAAAAGAATGACAAGAATTTCGATTCCGATTATAATAGCGATGAAGACATGAATGTAAACCAATTGCAAGAATCGACGNTATTTATAGCTAATAAGAGATCGGATTTCATACAACTTATGATTGATAACGAAAAGAATGACAAGAATTTCGATTCCGATTATAATAGCGATGAAGACATATTACATTTGGTTAACGTTCTTAGCTGCCTTTGACAATAATTTAGGAGCGTTTGCGATTGGTCGCTACTCAACTGCCGAGTCCCTTATGACAAAAAGTAGCGGCCTTACGACACGACCAGTGCCTCCCTTTCCCATGCGATCTACTATTTGTCGCAATACAGGGATTGTCAGCAAAAACTATACTCAGAGTTGGCGGCAATGGACGAAGACTTCACGTATGAAAACCTAAATGGACTCAAATATCTCAATGCAGTCATCAATGAGACCCTACGGCTCGCACCCCCTCTCAGCTCCGTTCAGAGGGTGTCCGTCGAGGACTACAAACTCGGAAACACAGGTAATCACGGGATAGGTATCTAAACGTAATGTTTAACTCAATGTTATCTCATAGGGATTACAGTACCGAAGGGAACTACGTTAGAGTTTCAGCCCTATATACTCCATAGAGATCCCTTGAATTTTGATGATCCGGAACAGTTCATACCGGAGAGGTTTGTGAATCCCACACACCATCCCTACGCGTTTGTACCGTTTGGTGGCGGACCCCGACTTTGCATCGGACAACGGTTTGCCTTAAATGAGATGCGAATGTGTATCGCAAAGTTGATACATAAATACGAGTTCACGACAGCACCGGGATTTAAGGTATGAAAAGTGGATTTATATTTATGTATAAAATGTATTAATTTGATGCATCTATATACAGTTGGACTATTTCACTGGTAACTTTTTGTTAACTCCTAAACAAGTGTTGGTCAACATTAAGAGACGGTAGACATGATTGAATGAAATCAAAAATATGATAATTATGTAACTTTTTTTTATATAGTCTCTTATTTTAATGTAAATAAAAAATATAATACACTTTATGTGCAATTTATTTATTTCTAATTATATTGACAAATCATATACAAATAAATTTATTTACACGTTCAAATAATGGAAATCAATGTTTTAATAAGTTTCGCACCCATTTTATTACACATAAATTAATCTTATATAATCATTAAATAATATAGTGTAAAAAAGTTATTACAGTATCCAAATACGTACGCACTGGTAGGGGGGGGGGGTGAATCATGCCAAACTTAAATTGCAATGTAACATGTAACTTTATGTTGAGAATAAGGGCCCCTTATTAAGGGGGAGTGGGGTACAAGAACTAGCTAATTGTAATTATATTTTAATCTATTGATTACATAATAACTACTAAAATGAACTTCTAAATTAATAAATTATGGTAAAACAACAAATATTTTGTCTATACATTTTCACTATTACATAAAAATGATAATTGTTCAGTTTGCTATTATTTACAGTCTTATTAATGTATTTGTGTAAGCCTAAAACCATTTAAAGGTTTTTGCTATGTAGCGTTTACTGTATATGAAATATTTATTAAACTTCTATCATACTTTTATAATGAATAAGTTTAATAAAAGTATGATAGAAGTTTAATAAATATTTCATATACAGTAAACGCTACATAGCAAAAACCTTTAAATGGTTTTAGGCTTACACATTTATCGTTGAACTCAATGCTAATACATAAAATCTTGTAATTCTGTATATAATATTAATATAATTATTTTAGCATAGAGTGCAATCTGTACTCTTTATCAACAAACTGTATATTTATTTATTTTATACATTGATAACTATTTAATATTCTGTATGCAGTGTTATTAGTTTATTAGTGTACCAGTGCACATAGCACTGGAAATAATCATTTCATTAAGATCCAAGGCTATTTTAGGAGTTTCTTTGTTAACCACACATACATGTATATGATTGATTACTTTATGTGAAACAATTATGTCATAACAAACACATTTTGAATTCTTATATAAATGGGTGAATTCATTCAGTTTTAGTTATTATATCTCCAACTATTTCTGTGTTTAAGTGAAATATTATTAGACATTAAAATATTATCCTGAACGAAAATATGGAATTAAACTTTTATTGGACTATCTTTATAGCCCTAATCACTATATTTCTATTGTAAGTCATATTATTTATACCGTGCTAAATAATTATAATATATTAATTAATTTACCTTTAAATCCCATTTCAAATAAAGATATTTGAGGCACCGGTACACCTACTGGTCCCGACACGGTGTCAAAGGGCATAATTACGTGGACTTCTGGGAATTTTTCACAAAGTTTACGGACAATGTGATGGTTGGCTACCAAAAGTTTGGCCGAATATACGGCTATTACTTCTTTATGAGTAAATGGATTGTTGTGAACGAACCGCAACTCATCCGGGATATTGTGGTCAAAGACTTTCACATATTTCCCAACAGATATGACATGAATTTAGGCGAAAGTAAGATCTCGAAGGCGTTGTTCTTCATGAAAGGGGACGACGAGTGGAAACGGATCCGCTCTATAGTCAGCCCTACCTTCACGACCGGGAAGTTGAAGGCAATGATGGCTCATATATCGGATATCGCCGACCAGTTTGTCACCAATTTGGGAGTATATGCGGAAAATGGTTTGTTTTAATAGTAACTAGTATTTAAATATTATGTCAAATAATATTCTTAGTGTAATGTAATATAGTTAATATAATAGTTCACTAGTTAGTAAAAATACATTCTGATACAATTACGGTATTTCAAAACATTGTTATATTTTATTTAATAAATTAATTATTTCTACATTTTAGGTGAAGTGGTAGATATGCGCAAATACATGGGTGCCTTTGCTATGGATGTGATCAGCGCCTGTGCCTATGGTATAAACGTGGAGTCCATTAGTGATCCCAATCATCCCATTGTAGTGAACGCTAAGAAGATATTGTCGGTTGACTCGAGCGTCGGTTATATCGTCTCTGTTTTGTTTCCACCGATCGCTCGATTCCTACGCTTAGAGCCGTTCGACAGAAATGCTCTCAAATTCTTCGACTCTTTAACCGAAAGGATAGTCAATGAACGCAAAGAATCGGCAAAAGTGGCCACAATTGAGGGTAAATTCAGATAAAAGTATTTATTATTTTAATAAAAGTAAATAAATTTTTAATTAAAGGCAATAAGAGATCAGATTTTCTGCAACTTATGATTGATAACGAAAAGTGTGACAAAGATTTCGATTCCGACTATAATAGCGATGATTGGGATCACTAATGGACTCCACGTTT